GAGCTGATTCTCACAGCCGTTGTCTGGACCCCTGGAGCTGTAACTGCCCTCTTATTTTCCCTGATGGTTTAAGTACCATTTCCAAACCTTTTACCCCACCTCTCTGTCTCTTTCTTCTGCCTCTGACACCAGGGGTGGGGAACCTCTTGCCCAGGGGCCAAATGTGGCCTCCCAAGCCTCTCCATCCCACTCCCCCAGGCCACACCTCCTATCCCAAGGCCACACCCCCACCAGCCCTGCTTCCCACTCTTCCTTACCAGACCTGAACCCTGATAATGCCTTTCCCTTGCCTGGATGGAAGATAGAATGGTGTGAGTGTGTAGCAACTAACCTAGTGCCCAGATATGAAATCTGCATTTCTTGCCACGCCCACTCTTGCCTATGGCTCCGCCCACTACAGAAGAGCATCTGCCAGAGGGTTGCCCCAAAGGGGAAATGGCTTTTGGGCTGAAAAGGGTTCCTTATTCTTGTCCTACAACATCTGGGACTGCATCTTGGAAACAGGCCAGGCAGGTGGGATGTACAAACTAACTACATCCAGGTTACTCTTAGGGCATGGAAAGAGGATGCTTTTGGCTGTCACCTCCAGACAAAACTGGGAACCCATCTGGCTGGCTTGCTGAAGCCCTTGGAAGTTGGGCTGTGGACTGGGAAGACAGCTGTTCCTACCAAGGGGAAAGCACCCCAGACCTTTTCCTGCAGGAGGCTACACTCACTCTGCCATGTAATCCGGCACCTGCAGAGGTGGATCTGGAAGGAGAAAGTGGAGGGGTGCTTACTCAGATTATTATTATTATTGTTATTATTATTATTATGCCCAGCCCAGCAAGGTGAAAGGCACCTAGCCAGTGCAAAACCCCAACCCAACATCCATGGGTTTCTGCTGCTACTCACCATCCTTCAGGGTCCACTTGACATCTCCTGTCTTTCTGCTCACTGCGTGGAGGTTCCCGTCAAGGGTTGACACGAAGAGCAGCGTTTCCGCAACAGTGGATGTGCTGCCAGCAAGACACTGGGGGGGGGGGTGGCAGGCCCGGAAGAGATGAAGTGGGGTGAGTTTGGAACACAGAGCCACAGCAAGGTCCTTTTCCTGCCTTCTTGTGCACAGTCGCTCCAGAGGCTGGTCCTGTGCTGCCAGCTTACCTCCTCTTCCTTACTATCAGGGTTACCCTAGTAGAACTCAGCAGCCCCATCTCAACAGGTACCAGACAGCACTGCAGAGCCAACTAGGTGGCTGACGCAATGCATGGTGGTAGGCTGGACCAGATGACCCTTTGGGTCCCTTCCAGCTCTTCTGTGATTCTACGACTCAGTCTAAGGCAGCTCAAGCCAAGGGCCTCTGCTCAGGAGCAGAACATGTGCTTGGCATGCAGAATCTTCCAGGTTCAGTTCCCTCATGGCATCTGCAGGAAGGGCTGGGGAAAGTCTTCCCCCAAGACCTGCTGCTGCTGCTGCCAGTCAGTGTAGGCAGTCCTGAACTAGATGGACCAATGGTCTTCTCGAAGCTTGATTTGAGTCTCATGGTGGTCCTGCCTGCAGCCTCCAACCCTGGCAGCAGAGCCTTCCCAGGTATACGATATACGATATCTTTATTGTCATTGTCCCATGCAGAGCAATGAAATGGAAAAACTACATAAAACTACATAAAAACTACACAAAACTACATAAAAACTACATAAAACTTTCAAAAACCCCTAAAAACTCTAAAACCCCATTTTAAAATACACTATACTATAGAGACCCCTTATGCTGCGTTTAGAACCAGAATTGCATTTGCGTAGAAACTGTTTCTCAGGCGGCTAGTCCTGGCCTTTATAACCCTAAACCTTCTTCCAGAAGTAAAAGAGAGGACCTAGTTTTGCCAGCCAAAATGGGGAGTGGGGAGGAAAGGGGACCCTGTGGGGAGCACTGGATGGCACCCAGTGATGTGTGCCCTAAAGATCACATCCACCCCATATTTCTGAAGAGCTCCTATGCCACTCAGAGAAGCATGGAGCACAGTTAAGCCTTGGAACCTGCTCCTGCAGGAGGCAGATGGGCTTTAAAAGAGGATGGCATAGATGGCTTTAAAGAGGATTGGAGAAATCCATGGAGGGCTATCAATGGGTAGTAGCCAGAGTGGCTATTCCCAGCCTCCTTGGTCAGAGGCAGCAATGCTTCAGCTGCTGGAAAGCACAGGAGGGGAGAGGACCCTTGTGCTGGGCTCCTGCTTAGGGGTTTCCCATTGGGGCATCTGGTTGGCCCCTGTGAGAACAAGAGGCTGGACTAGATGCGCCATGGACTGATCCAGAAGGCTTACTCCCAGGATACCTGAAGAAACGAGTTCCCACGCTTTCTCGGGGAAAGGAACAATAACGCTCGAAGTGGTTTGTTTGTGTGACATTTGTCCAACCCCACCCCTCTTCCGGGTCTGCCAGAGAAACCCCTGCAGGAGCGGACCGGCCACATTCGGGCGCATTCCTGGAGGGCAACAGCCGGACTTGTGCCAGCTCACCTGCTGCGCCCGCCTGCCAACTCCAGCCGGGCGCACCCTTTGGGCAAACAGCTTAGCAAACACGGCGGTGGAGGGGAGAGCGAGAGTCTTCCTCCTCCTCCTCCTCCTCCTCCTCGGGACCAGAAGGAAAAAGCCAGCCTTCTCCTCAACCCCCCACCCTGCTGTCTGAAAGCGCCCCATTTCCACGCCCCACTTTTCTTTTTGTCCTCGCGAAGGACTAGCGCCTTGGCGGGGCCGGCATCATGCTCTGCTTCAGGAAAAGAAGACTTAGGGGAGCAGGAAAGAAAGCCGTCTCCTCTTGTCTTCAAGGGCTCCGGGACTCAGAATAGCGCTGAATGGTGTTTCTTTTTGGGGGGGGGTGGATTGCTCCGCGGGCTTCCCAGTGGGCCGAGTCAACCCACGGCGGGGAGAGGGGGGTCTGTCCCAACGCCCTACGGGGGGAAGCCTTGGGCATCCCGACAGCATCTCCCACCAGCCCTGGGCTTAGGATCCGCTCCACTCCTGCAGCTGGGCTCGGCTGGGGCTGGTGGGCATCACATCTTAGGAGGCGACACCCCACGCCCCACACAGCCTTACCTGGGCTAGCAGGGCGCCGAGGAGGAGGAGCAGCAGACGCGGTCCGCGGGTGCCCCGTCGGGGCTGTTGCTCCGGAGAGTGGCGCATGACTGCTCTTGCCGCGGGTTCCGGGCATCCTCCTCCTCATTTGTTCCAGGGGCCGCGACCACAGCCGAGACCCCCGCAAGCCCGACGCCCCGGCTCCATTCCGGCAGGTTCCGCGCAGGGAGGAGCCGGACCTGCCACGCTACCGCCTTCCCGGGCGCTGCTGCCCCACCTGGCACACGCCTCCGCCCCAGATCCGGGTCCCTGCCCTGCCCTGCCGGGACCAACAGCCAGGAGGACGGGGCTCGCTGATTTCCCCTTCCCAAGCACCCCCCCCCCCGCCCACCGGCAGTAGAACAGGCACTCTGCACGCGCCCAGAGGCACACAGAGGATTTCAATTCTTTATGAGGATGGCTGCTTTTGCAAACACACGTGCATGTGTGTATGAGAGATTCCTATTTCTAAGGGTCAGGGCTCTCCATTGCTCAGACCCAGCCAGAACCAGGAAGTGGGACATGCTGGGCAGGGTGGTAAGGAAGGCTGCTGGCACTAATGAAGAGTGCAGAAGGAAGCAAAGGCAACAACGGAGCATATACAAAGCGCAGAGTGAGCATGTGCAATGAGCCCTTCCTTTTTTGAGTTTGGAAAAAAGAACAGCCCTTTCCCCAAGTCCAGACCCCCTCCTCAGCTGGCATTTTGAACTCCAGATCCCCCTCCCAGTGAAAGTAAGGAGAGCTGGGTTATGAGCTGGCGGTGCTGCTCTCACACACCTTTTCAGATACATCCTTGAAACCACAATCTGCCCACAGATCTCACTAGCAGGAAGTGCTGGACAAAAAACTGCACAGGCGGAGAAGGAAACACATTGGAAGGACGTTACAAGGCCAACCAGGAACTCTTCTCTTTGGCCTTCTGAGCTGCATGAACAGCTGCCCAAGACCAGTCCAGCAGCTCCATGATGTTATATTAAACCTTTGTGCCCAACACAGAGTAGCTTTTTATCCACTCAACAGGGATGCCAAGTACAGTGGTACCTCGGGTTACAGACTCTGCTAACCCAGAAATAGTACCTCGGGTTAAGAACTTTGCTTCAGGATGAGAACAGAAATCGTGCTCTGGCAGCCCAGCGGCAGCAGGAGGCCCCATTAGCTAAAGTGGTACTTCAGGTTAAGAACAGTTTCAGGTTAAGAACGGACCTCCAGAACGAATTAAGTTCTTAACCCGAGGTACCACTGTACTCCTTCACACAGTGCAGTGTTAAAATTACGGAACTTGCTCCCACAGGAGGCAGCGAATAATGTCCATCAACTTGGAGGTCTTTAAAATAAAATTGGACAAATTTGTGGAGGAGAGGGCTATCGATGGCTACCAGCCATGGTGGCTATTGCTTTGGATCTACAGTCAACTGAATACCAGTTGCTGGAAATCACAGGAGTGTTCTTGTGCTCTGGTTCTGCTAGCTGGCTTCCCATTGGGGCATCTGGTTGGCCACTGTGGGAATAGGATTCTGAGCCAGATGGGCCACTAGCCTGTTCCAGCAGGTGGTTCTTACGTTCTTAAGTATTATTTCACCTACTTAGTAATTTAGAGATACTTGTAATAAGCATTATATGTGAGGATCCCCAACAAAGATGTGTTTCTCTACCAAATATCCTCATTGCTGAAGGGGTGGGGGGTGGGGGTTTTCATCGCTCAAAGCCTGCCTTATATGGAGCCAGACCAATGGTCCATCTAGCTCAGTATTGTCAACACTGACTGGAAGCAGCTCTCTGGGGTTCCAGGTAGCGAGTCTTTCCCAACGCTACCTTGAGATGCCATCCTCCTCACCTCCAACCCCCCCCCCCAAATTCAATAGCACTATGCGGAACAGGTACCATGTGAAAAACCACTCAACACAACCAAAAGTGTTCATTATCAAAGTTTAATTGACAAGACTGATTGATCTTACAGAATAGAACAAGGAGAATAATTGCCGGACAAAGTTACACTTAAAAATATTTCAGCAGTGCACGTCTAAGACTTAATGTTCACCCAGCCTCATTCATGCCTCCCTGTTCCCATAACCGGCCCTGGAAATGATAAACTGCTGCTCTGCAGAGGACCTGGGATGAGGGTGAATCAGGCTGGGCTATTTGGGATAGACACACTGCCTGCCTAGCTTCTGCCCATGCAAGGAACTGGCTAAGATTCAGAGGGCAGGCACATGATGGCGCAAGAGAAATTCACCCCAGCACAGGGCAACTCTTCACACAGGAAGGGATACTGGGGGAGATGGAAGATTTCCTGATACTGAACACCAAGATCCCAGCCCCTGAAATGCATCCATACCAGTGTTAAACAGGTCTGTGTGTACATGTGCATGCCAACCACACCCCAGCTGGCTGCGTTCACTGCTTGGGCCCTTCTTGGGCGCTCCATTTGCTTGTGAAGCTGCCCACAATGGGTGGGCATGATGTGGGCAGGTCATTCTTGTCTGTTGGAAGGACTGGGAGACTAGGAGGGCAAGTGGTGAAAGCCTGTCCTGTAAGACCAAACAGCTAGCATGTGTCCGTGCTGGGAGAAGGGCATACTGAGGTTCCCTATGGCTGCAAGTCTGGAGGAGGAGAGTTCTCCCAATATGGCACCTTGGGTGGGAGAAATGCATTGCACAACAGAACCTAGATTTTTGGCCCTGGTTAAGAAAATGGAAAGAAAATCCACAACTCAGCAAGAGCAAGATTAGCCCTGGAACACCACCCCCGTTTCCTAGGCACCAAATGCAGAGTAATTTCCTAATCACCAGCATTACATGGGATGTTTCTGCTCCGTGAGACTGAGACAACTGCCTTTCCCAACCAGAGGTCCTCCAGATGTTTTAAACTACATCTCCCATGATGGCTAGGGCTGATTAATGCTGTAGTCCAAAACATCTGGAGTATACCTGGTTGGGGAAAGCAGGGCTGGAAACATGAGGCTGTTTTTATTCTTCCTCCTGGCAGTTTTTTTTTTAAAAAAGAAAGAACTGAAAATCTGCCTCAAAAAGGATGGAGATCATGGGAGTGGTGAAAGGAGATATGCTCCCAATGTGGTTTTTCCATTAACACCCCCCCCACAGGGGAACACCCACCCACTTATTTGTGTCTGCTGAAGCCTTCCCTAATAAGCAGCCCAAAGCAGCACCTGTAATCTAAAGTCAAGTCCTTCGATATTTCCTTCCACTAAGAAGAGACACCTCATTTTCCACTCAGAGACACTTTAAGAAGGTACACGCACAAGCAAATGTTTTCCAACAGGCTCATTAAATGATCTGAATATAACCTGCATGTAAACATGGCACCAGGGAGGCTTTTAAGCAGCGATGCTTTCAAGCTGCAGAAAGACACTCCCTCACAGAAAGGGACTGCAGTTTGGAAGCAAGCAGAGGCAAAGAATGATATCTCAGGCAGCAGGACAGGGCAGACAATGAAGGGGAAAAACAAAAGCACCAGCAGCACTAGGAAGCCAGTTCTACTGAGGCCATCCAGTTCAGCCTTCTGCATCAATGTGGCTGCCCCTCTCTTGCACAGAAACCCAATTAATATTGGCATGCTGGAGGAAATTCAAGAACCCCTCTCCTAAGCACATGGGGCACAAGAAGTTGTCGGATTAGATACTCTTCCACAAGCTGGCGCTTTCCAGCGGTTATGGACTGCAAATACCAGCACCTACAAGGGTCAGCCACACTGCTATCAAAATGTGTTCAATTGAATAGTCATAGAATCATAGAACTGTAAAGATGGAATGCACCCCAAGGGACACCTAGTTCAACCCCCTGCAAGGAAGGAATCACAGAGGGGTACAGATACACACATGGACTGAAAAAGACACAGCAGGATGTTGTGAATACGCAGCAAGCTTGAAAAAGCTGCTTGTTCAGAGCTGCCTCCAGGATCAAAGGTGGAATCGTTTATAAAGGCTCAAGCGGGCCTGGAGCTGCATTCCAAATGCCCAAAGATCAGAAGAAGAACTCAAGCCAAGCTGAAGCTCTAGCCCTCTCACTAGGGAATCTTGCCCGATAACCCCAAGGGTTGGCTCCAATGTTAACTGTACTCAGAGGAGGCCCGTTGAAAGTAATGGACATGTGGTCTTTTGATTTCAATGGGTTTGCTCTGAGTTACAGCTGATGTTGGATAAAGCGCCCCAGGTGTGTTGGGGGAGGTGGAAGGAGAGAGAAGAGGAGCCTGATAGGTTAAGAGAAAGGCACTCTGCTTATGCTCAGAGGTAATTGCTTATATTTTCTTTACTTCCCAATTTTCAAGGCTTTCGTCTTGGCACTAAACACAGGCTGTGGGACTAAGTTCAATGAGGCCGTGGCTCAAACAAAGCCACAATGCAGATGTTAAAAGTTCAGATGGATCTTTAGGCTTGGGCTGAGTAAATCCCCTGGGCTCCGAAGGCATTAGCCCATGATGCAGATAAATTTTTGAAAAATGGTTGAGCCTTGAGGAAGACTGGAGACTAAGAATTTGTGGCTTGCTTCTAGAGAGAGAAAAAGACAACAGATGCTTGAACCTAGAAATCATTTACCTATTCCATGCAGATGTTTCCCCACATCCCCAATTATGCAGACATGCCCTTCACATATAAAGACTGGAAGGCAACTCAAAGCATCAGCACATCATATAAAAGGATAAACCATGTCAACCACGTTATCTGCACTTATGGCCCGTTACAAATTGTGCCTTTAGCTGCACAAATAGGAAGCACTTGGAAATTTGCAAGTACATAGTCACTTTTAAACTGCATGTTCCTGCAAAAGATTTGAGCCACTTTAATGTTAATTTTGGAGAGAAACCAGCCTAGTGCAAGTCCTTTGGAAACCTTCAGCTGCCCTTGTACACAAGGAAGCAGGCAACCCACTGTCAGGACTCCTATGCCATTTACTTGCATTGTTGCTCTGCCTTCTAGAGAGAAGCCATACTCCTTGAGAAGGTGGGTTGAAGCACTTGGAGGAGTTGGAGCAAACAGCCAAACAGTTTGGTATTGCACATGTCAGACTCCCTTCCACTTGTCACAATTACCCACTACCTTCAATATATGAACATTAAGAGGAACCAGGCTGCTGGATCAGGACCAAAGGGGCCCATCAAGTCCAGCCTCATGTTCTCACAGAGGCCAATCAGATACCCCAAAGGGAAGCCCACAACCAGGAATTGAGAGCAACAACACTTCCCTCACTCACAATTCCCAGAAACTGATATTCACAGGTATACAGCCACCAACTTTGGAGAGAGAACATAGCCATTGAAACCCTGAAAGTGCCCTGATGTCCCTCCTGTTCTCCTAAAGCAGGACCTCTCTAGAAAGCAGACCAAAAGAGAAAGACCAAAAGAGAGTGGCCTCTTCTGCCCCTGCCCCACTTGAGCATCACTTGGTATAGTCCCCCTTGTGGGGGGAAAGGGACTCCTGCTCCTAAACAGCTGCCAACAATACAGATGTAAGGCACACACCTTCTTACAGCTTCCCACTCGTCCCCTAAAGCACAAACAACCTCAATACTAGTTGTAATTATTTGTGTGGATGCATCCCGTAAGGTCACTTTCATGGAAATGGAACAGACAGGGATACATGTTTGCAGAAGACAGGTGACATTGACACCAGATCTCTAATGTTTAGAAATGCTCACATCAAGTAGTCTTCTAATCCAGGAGGTACAGACCTGGGCCAGGGGTGTTTTCAGGTGCAGCTAAAGCTCAGACTGAGGCTCACCCTCCATGCACAACAAAGGATGCTCACGATGGGCACCTCAGGGATCAAAGAAAACCAGAGGCAAACGACCCTTGAACTACAGCACTAAGGAGAAGTATACCATGATAGACAGGTAGTTAAAAGACAGCCTTCCTTCAAAGGAGCCTGGGATGAGGAAATCAGAAGGGAGAAGAGCTGTAAGTGGTACAGTGTCTGCCTTGCATGCAGAAGGTTCCAAGTTCAGTCCCCAATGGCACCTCCAATTAAGGCTGGAAAAAGACGCTTGCCTCAAACCCTGGACAGCCACAGCCAGTGTAAATACTGAACTATATAGACCAACTGTCTGATCTGGTGAATGGAGGACAAGCCCACTGGGTCTGGCCAAAGGTTGCCCATCTAGTACAATCCTGTTCTCAAAGCAGCTGACCAAATTCCTGTGCAAACCTCCAAGCAGAAACATGAGAGCAGTGGCACTCTGCCCACTTGCGATTCCTAGCAACTGGTAAGACAGCGTCTTACGTTCCCAATGCTAAAATTGCAGCCAACCTTACTCTGTAAGTATTTAAGGTTACTAGTTGCAAGTAGGAGTTATGAGTTACTAGTAGAGATGTGTAAAATAATTGGGTACCCTAACACATATACTCGGGGGGGGGGATATTGTAAAAACTTGGCATTTGAGGAAAGACTGAAAAAACTGTAATGCAATATTTTTCTACTACTAGGATGATGAATAAAAAGCTTTTGAAAGTAGCACTTGAAGGATTATAGTCAATTGACTGCTGCAATACTTCTTAGATTCATGAATGAAATGCAGGATAGTTAGTAGTAATAGCCTTGGGTTTAGGTTTGGTAAGAAAGAATTGCATAAATTTCAATTTCTCCAAATGCCTGTTTTTTCTCCAGGAAAACATGCCCTGACCCAACCATGGCATTAACATTTGAAGTTTTATATATCTCTATTCACACCTGGTGATGTTTAGTAGCGGGGAAATCAATCATCAAAACCAGACTGGTCACTCCACAAAATTAGATGGCACAGAAGTCAAAATTACTTCAAGGGTTCTTGAAATGTGCCCCCACCAGGCACAAAAAGATTTATACAATAGCTCAGCAGAAAATAAGATGGCCAACTCAACTGAACGAGGGAGGTCTATGGATGCAATTTGTCTGAGTTGTTCTTAAAAAACATGAACCTCAGGGAACTTATCCTGAATGAGCTAGGCTGGAACGACAGTTCACTCTGGTTCAGTTCCTACCAGGATCAATGCAAATCATGATGTTAAGCCACACTCCAAGTTCACCTAGGCAAAGACTCAAGGAACACCTACTTGGAAGATAGGGTACAAGGACACCTGAGGGTCCTCCAAGTGGGCCAAGGAACAGGGTGATGGCCAGCTACTCGCTCAGCTGAAAATATGGTATAAAGAGCACCAAACAGAAAAAAACCTGTATTCTAAAGCAAATTTGTGTCTTCCTCAGTCACCACAGGCCACGCAGTGGACCAGAGTTCTGGTATAATGAACAAAAAGCAAGTGACTACCACTTTGTTCAATTTTAACCACCGTTTTATGGAAAAGTTGCTAAAACGTTTGACAATGCCACTAACCTCATATTAAAGGGTGTGAAGAATGTGCTCTCTTGCTGTAGATAACAGCTGCAAACCCAGCATCTCTAGAATGCGCAGGAGAGCACATATGTTCACACAGACCAGCCGTGTCTCTTCTTTGAACACAGGGAGGGACCTCCCTTCTGAGCACCTTGAGGCAGCTGTGTGACTGTACACACATTCAGAGGCCCCACTGATGCTAGGGTGATACTGGATGCGGTCTGGATGCAGAGCAAATGTTATACGTAAAACAAGAGATAACAAACCCACAAGCTAGCTGCAAAGTAATTCTTGGTAACAACAGGGATAGCCAAGAAATGCTTCTTAAGGCAGTCTAGATCCCCCTAATAATGGTAGCAGAAAGGGAGAAAGAGAGAATGGCGGAACACAGAACAGAGTAAGCAACAGTCCAGCATGGCTGCAAGCCTCCTGCGTTATTAAGCTTCCTTCCTCTCAGTAACAGGCATGAAAAACTCCACTAAAGAATCATTGCCAGCATCTGAAAAAGGAGTCAAGCATCTTTGGGTTAAGAGTGAGAGTTGTCCCATTTTGCTACCAGAAAAGCTACCAGGAAACTTAAGGACAAGGAAGATATGGCTTCTGAAACCCCAAGTTTGCATACCATTTAAAAGTTTTCTTTTAGTATTAAAAAGGAGAGAGAGAAACCTACTTCTCAAGCTCCCAGTCACAAGCGCATACCTCAAAACAAACCATAATGCTTGTTAATGAAGAGTTACGAAAATATCTGTCTCTTGTCCAAATCATGTAGAAAATCCTCAGCGGTGTGTCAGCGTTTTTCTCCTTGCAGAAACAGAAAACCAGAAGGGCTACTACACCTGGCACAGTTAAAGTGTATTACACACAGTGGTTTGTGAATTAAGGTTTATTGATTTCCATCATATTTGCTTTTTGTTTTTAAATATGGTTGAAGCTGGGCTGCCGAACAAAGGCTGCTGCTGCACTTTTTAAGTTAAAAATAAACTAATGGCGAGAGATCCCCACCTCTGGCGTCCTCCCAGGCCTCTTTGAGATCGTATCGATAAGAAGTTCCAGGACGACCCATGTCCAGGCCTCTCCTAGCAGTGTCCTTAGGTTCATGTCAGTCTCCAGTGCCAGAGGTGAGCGTGCCTTCAAAAATACTGCCACTTCCCCAGCACTGTGTCCTTGATGGCATCGACGTATTGAGTAGGCACCCAATAGACCCAGTAGTAAGAGGCTTCAGTAGGACCCAGCTGGAAGGCCTGGAAGATGTGGGAAAAGAAGAACAGGAGGCTCAGAATTAAGGTCTCTCAAACTATGGCCAGCTCATTCAACACTGGGACCAAGCCAGATCCAGCAGTTTCCTGAGGAGCAGCAGTTCTCTCTCAAAACATTGAAGAATATAAGAAAAGCCTGCTGGATCAGGCCAATGGCCCACCTAGTTCAGCATTCTGTTCTTCTAGTAGCGAAGCAGATGCCTCTTTTGGGAAACATACAAGCAGGATTTGAGCACAAGAGCACTCTCTCCTCCTGTGGTTTTCAGCAACTGGTATCAGACACTTTCTGTTTATACATATTCAGGTGTTCAAAGTATTTCATGTACATTATCCCCAAACCCTTACAACAACCAAGCAATGTAGGCCATCACTAACACCAGCATCTCCATATTACAGACAAAGTAGTTGAGGCAGAGAATATTGGCTTGCCTCAAGCAAGGTGAATCTTAACCAGATACTACTTTGTTTACATGCAGAGACATTATGCATTTTGCCAACTGGGCTCAGAATATAAAAGCCAAATCACGGTTTGGTGCTTCGGGAATGAGCTCTGTGCTCACACATTGCACCTCCCCCCCCCCAGGTGTTCTGCTTCAATTATTTACTCCTGCACTTGTGCAAACCAGTCAGCTGCTGCATCCAAACTGTACTACAACTCCAATCATGATCATCCTTCTTGACCGCTGGCCATGCTAGCTGATGGGAGTTGCAGTTCAGAAACATCCAGAGGGCCACAAACACACCCCTTGGTCCTCAACTCAACACCAACTTCAGTTCTATTTGTGAGAGGAGGAAAGAGAAGGAGACGCATAAACTCTCCTTTCAAGTGGCAAATAAACCAAAGAGTTAATGAGATTGTTATGTAAGTAGAGGCCCTGTATGTTTCTGTCCACTGAAGGGAGAAGTACTTATTCCGTAGAAAATAGAAGAGAGGCAGACAATTCACGGGAGTTCACTGAATGCTGAGTCTTCTTGCAGGGTAAAAAGCAGGGAATATGATCCTCTCTATGGAGAGTGCTGCAGAAGGAAGAAAGGCTTCTCTCTGAATTAGCCCTTATGCTGACTGCTTTTGCTCATAGGAATGTAGTCTTCTCCTGAAACCCTGGGCTTAACATCTGCAAAAGTTCAGGTGCAGTATTTGCAGAGGACCGTTCCTTACCATCATGTGATAATCCTCATGTCCTTCGATAGGTTCACTCACCACGTTCTTGATAGACCCCATGGGCAACTTTTCTGTTCTTTCTGCATTGAAATGAAACATGTCAACTTGGGCAGGATGACGTTTCACACCATTCCTCCGCTCTTCCTTCCAGAGCTTCTCCATCCCATCAGAATGTATGAAAAAGGAAATGCTTTCTCAAAACTGCACCAGCCCCAATACCTGATCCCAACAGCCTCTCCTCTTCCAAAGAAGACCTTCCCCCCACCCCAAAAGCTCTTTGCATCACTCAACTCACTGGAAGTAAGTAAGTAAGTAAGTAAGTAAGTAAGTAAGTAAATAAATAAATAAATAAATGGCTTTCTACTAAGACAAAAGAAATTTATAAACCCCATATGCAGCTTAATCCTTAAAGTTATTGCTGTTTCCCTAGTTCACCCCCTAAACCATTCCTGTGGCAAGAAATCAGACAGAATTAAAGAAACAAAAGCATGGTCTGTCTGCAACACCACACAGCACGACAAAATGAGAATGCATTTCAACCTCTTATCAGCATATTTCCTCCCTGTTTGAAGCTGCTCCAAGGCCAGCATAACAGAGTGTCAAATATCACATCTGTCCTAGTCAACAGATGTGCCTTTTTGCAAAAGGAGAAGATCCCCCTGCTGAGGCACTCTGATGGTCTCTCTCTTTCCCCAATGGTAGGGCCATTTGTCAGGCAGAGATGTGAACTACCAGGTGCCTGACCCTCCCCAGGTGGGCTGCTGCAAGAACAGGTGATGGTTGAAGTGCTCCTACTGCTAAGGAGTTGGATTGGGAAAAACCAAGCCCCATATAATGAAATTGGCCATTACTGCATTAGAATATTATTCAGTCATATCAGTAACCATTAAGAAGTCATAATATAGAGATTACACAACCACAGTTGTGACTGAGGCCAAAAGCACTTTGTGCCCATTAATTTCATCTGGTGAGAATTAAGCATGAGCTTAGCTGCTATTGAAACCAAATGGGACATACAACAGCTTAGTATGGGCTACACGGTGCCTGTTGCTCTGTGTGAGGGTCAAAAACATCTAAACTAGTAAGCCCCAGCTTTCAATGGAAACCAGAGTGTAGCGAAAGTATGCTGCTCCTCAACTAGCCTTGTTAAATGAAACTCAGAAATACCCATAATTTCCCACAGACTCTTTAGCCCTTTCAACTTCACGCATCATGCCTGCTCAATCCAGTTTTGCATCTAAAGAAAGCCTGGGGCTGCAAACAAGCAGGAAGTGCAGCTTACAGAGCCACTAAAATACTACACAGAGTTCAACCAGCCAGCCAGATCAACAAAATCTCTTTCTAAGGACCCTCTGTACTGCAAGTTCTGCTTTTAATGGTCCCCCACTCTGCCCAGCCCCTGTGCAATGTTCTGATATTTATGAGACAGTGGTATATAAATAAAGTGCCATTGGCGTGCGTGTGTGCAGAATGCCAGTGCTCTCAATGTTTCAGCACTTTCAGAGCCTCCCTCCAGTATGGTTCTTGGGACACAAGCAGCTCAACTCCCTACCACAAAAAAACACAAGGGGCACAGGCAGAGTATTAAACACTGAAGAGCCACAAAAACCCTCATATATTAGGTAGGTCAAACCCTTCAAGCAGGCCAAATTATTGATTGGCCAAAGATGTACAGGAAATGCACTGTAGGGTATCTAAATCACCAATGCCTTTTCTGCTCTTCAAGCTTCACATGAACTGTAGCATATTTCTACTTGTTGCTCCTAAACCATCACCCGAACAGAATGACTCTACAGGCTCAGAAATCTTGCAAGGGGTCAGCTGTGAAACACTAAACATGGCATCAGTACTCTCCCAGAGATAAGTCTTCAGGTCCCCCCAAAGTATATAATTTTGAGCACCTACCTTTAGTGCCAATCCAAAGCTGATCTTGTTCGAGTTTAAAGGTGAGCCGCACTTTTCCACCCGATTTGTTGTACATGCCCGATAAAGGAACAGTTGGCAGGCGCTCCTAAGAAGTCGAGAACAGAGGTCTTCTGTGAACAACAGGAAGCTTCTGCCAGCTTTACAGCACAAAGTTTAAAAAGCCACCCTCCTCTACAGGACATAAGTGTAGGAGAGAAGGAAGAGCCCCAGAAACTGCCACTGGCTCCTATGGACCTCGACAATGATACAGCCTACTCACACACCTGGGCACCCTTGACAGAAGGCATCACATCTTCAGGTTTTCCTTTATCTAACACTTTCCTGTGTTGCTGTAACAAAGCGGAAATAAAAAATAAACATGACAAAAGCCTAGAAGATTTTCCCATCTACCTACTTGCTAACATACTGAGATTTTTAAGAATTTCAAGAAGATACACAGGCAACTAGTTACCTCTTATCTTAGTCACACAATCCAAATGCAATCAAGAAATGCATAGTATGTATTCTGTCTATCAGTAGTTATAAATTCACACTTCCCTAAAATTCAAGAGTTTACACCACAACTTTGGTGAAAACTATCACATTAGTAACTTTGCAAAGGAAAGCATGAAAAGGTCTCACAGAGATTCCCACCTCAAAACTGGCCAGTTGATAGCAGAATTAGCTATTGGCCAAAGGTGACAAAGGCCAAATTCAACAGGACTACCTAAAGGGCAGCACCATTTGGCTACAAAATGTTATTTATTGTTAAATTACAGTCACTACACTGTCCGTTCCACTAAAGTTAAATAGAGTTCAAATGGCTCTTCAACCTTGGACTTGCAGATAGTTTTTAGGCAACTTGCTCTCTCAGTTATTGGAATAGTGATCTAACCAGAAGGCTGCTGCAGGAATTATCAAGATAAGGAGCTTCAAGTTAACGTTTCACCGAAGCACATGGACCTCAAGGTCCTTCCTTTTAACTGGCCTATGGTCAAAAGGGGTACTCCCATTTTACCTGGGAGATCCATGTACACTTTCAGTCCAAACAAGCTACCTAGGCTGGAAGTTGTAACCAACCTTTTGTCTGCAAAGGGGCTCCTTTTTGGTCTCTTCTGATTTCACTTCCTGCTGAGCAGCATCTTTCGGTGTGTTTACTGCCAAGACATCATTGATAGTTGAGCCAACCACCATTATTTTTGCTCCATTGATCACTTTGATTTCCCGTAAAGTTTTATCCTCTGGTAGAAGTCCTTTGAACATGACCTTCTGCATTGCAGGTGGAAGGCCTAGCAAAGAAGGAATCAACAGGGAAGACTTTTTAACGCAGGAATTTCTTCCAGATATGATGGGAAGGTCACGTGGTAGAATTACCTCTCCATAAAACACAGACAGCCTCACCTGTGAGTGAGTGGATTTTCTGCTTCAGGTCAGCCCCTGTGTTATCAAGTGGGAACTTCAAGTCATACTTATTTTTGTTCCAGATAATTTTTAGCTCAACCAGCTCTTTCCCAATCTCAGAATCGCCGCCATTGCTGACAGAAGCCTGTGGGTCAGGTGGATCACTTTGAGGATCATCAGTCTCCAAAGGTTTCTCAGCAGAAAGAGGATCGCTGCCATCCCTGCAGTCTAGAGGCGGATTCTCAGCTTCTGCATCCATGCTGGTGTCATCCGAATCTGCAAAGAAAGGAAACAAATGAGAACAGCCCCCTTGAGAGAGGTGGGATCTGTATACATACACTCCTTATGCGCTGTTTTGGGACAACACTCAAAATAAAAACAAAAAACCCCACCAATCCAGATTAAGACTTCAATCGGGGCTGAATTATGTCAGCGGCAGGTACAGAGTCAGCTCAAAACACTCCCAACAGTAACTATTTTCTCTTTGTTTAATAGCACTTATTCCAGTACTGGAGTGCCTCCCCCAATTGTACCCGCTTGGTGAGCAAACCCTACTTTCCTCACTTCTATGCCTTGCAGTCTTTCTCCCTACATCCCCCGCCTCTACACCCGCCCCCAGTTTAGCGGGCCCAGCCCGTCAGGGCTGAAGCCAGGCAGACCTCGGCTACCCGCCTGGGAAACTCCCCTCCCTCGTGCCAGGGCGCCTCCCCCGAGGAAGACCCTCCGAATCTTTCCTGGGTGGGTGGCGCTTTAGGAAAAAGTGGCTCAAGGCACGAGGCCGAGCGAGGGGAGGCAGGTGAGGGTGAACCTCCAGCCCAACCCAGCCTAGTCGCTGCCTTGAGGGGGGAGTTTGGGGCTGCCCTGGCAAGGGGAGAGGGAAGGCCGGGGGTCGCCCACCCCCAATGTGTACAGCCCAGGCCTTGCCCCCTGTTTCCCTCCGCGCGCCCCCGCCCCTGGCGGACCCCGCTCTCTCTCGCGCGCGCACCGGGGGTGGCAGAGGCGGCAGCCATGATGATTGTGTACAACCCGCCCGGGGGGGTGCCGGGAAAAGCGCCGGGCGGTCCGGATTGGCCTCCGTCGGCCTCCGTAGCCCGCCCCTTCCGCCTCGAAACCTTCGCTCGCCGGTCCGGATGTTTTGGACTACGGCTCCCGCCACCTCCTTCTCCCCGCAGTCAGCCAGCCAACATGGATGTTGTGGCGGCAAGGGCTGATGGGAGTTGTAGTCCAAAAGCCCGGTGGAGGGTTGGTGGAGGCTGCTCCGCTGTAGCGTTGAAGTTCCACGTGGTTTGGTTTTGTAAGTCGCCCAAGCTGGAGAGGCGGTGGAAAAGCCTTAAAGAAAGATAGAAAAGGGAATGACGCTTTAAAAAAAAGTGAAAATAAATAAATATTATTTAATTATTATTTATTAAATATTTGACACAGTTCTGACCACCGCCTTCTTGCTGCCGCCTCTGTCTCTTCTTGTTACAGTATCCTGCTTTTACCCCACAAGGCGACTCAGGGTGGCTTCCACAAATAAAAACAACACAGATAAAATACAAAAAAGCTAAATATATATATAAGACAACCATTGAAAAGTAATTAAACTCTGACAGAATTAAAACAATATTAAAAATACGTGCATTACAATACAGCTAATAAAAACAGCACTATCAAAAGCCAAGTTCTCAACACGCCTCAAAAGAGCCTCAGTGGAGCAGGAGAACACAGGACCAGACAGCCAATAAATGGAAGCTAATCAGAATAAAATTACTAGTCCTTTTTTTTTTGCCACAAGACACTGGTTGCTTTTACAGGAACATAGTTACTTAGCACAGCCAGTCTCCAGGACCTCTGGCAGGGACTCTTTCCCACCCAGGACCTTTTGCATGGCAGGCAGTTGCTCTGCCTCTCAGCTAAGGTTGTCTTACCTAGAGAAGGGTGGCCCTTGGAGCTCCGCTGCAAGCCTGTCTCTTATAGGGGCAGTGGCCAATTAGGTGCATCCTCCTCTGGGAAGCCCACCCCAAACAGGATGCAAAGGAGACACCACTGGTCAGCCTTCTAGCTAATTTGCTGTGCTGCCATATACTAAAGTTTTAGATTATTGTTGCTAACTTGTCTTATTGATAATTGTTTCATATATATTGTTTCTTATTTTTGTAAACTGCTTGAAGAGGTTTTTTTTTTTTTTTCAATCAGGCAGTGTACACATTTTATGAAATAAATAATATAAATACGCACACACGTATATAAAGAATAAATTGATTGGAACAGCTTGATCCAGGTTCTATTAGCCAAAAAACCCCGCAAAAATAATGTATATAAAAATAAATCCACCTTCTCTTCCTCCCCTTAATATAGAATAGAAAAATAAAGATACTATTGAAAATTTAAAATAATTAAAAAAATAAAAAGTAAAACTGATAGTATTTGGTCCCACTTCGGCGTTGCCCCATTTCTGCGGCCGCAGCGAGGACGCTGTTTCTTTAAGTCTGGCTCCGCCCCTTGTTCCTGTCGGAAACTGAATGACCGACAGGATGTAGCCAATGGAGCGCGGGGGGCGGGGCCTTGTGTTAGACCACGTGCGCTTCTGCCGCTGCCTGTTGAGTCTACAGCTGGGAGACCGCTGCTGCCGCCGCCGCCATGGGACTGGGGGCTGCAGCGGCGGGGGATGCCTTGCGAGGCGCAGTCTGGGGGTCCGGCGTGCGGGTGAGGTTCGCGCCCAGCCCCACAGGTGAGCTGCCCCGGAGCCACGGGGAGCTCCTCGCCTAGCTGCCGAAGCCGCGGGGACTTCCTTGGGCCGCTGCCTGACATGATTAGGGTTATTTGGGTGCTTTCGTGCTGCCTTCCCGGGCAGTTTGCAAAAGCGATTCGCCAAATCGGATATTGTTATCATATTTTTAAAAATACGTGTTTGCTAGTTTGCTGAAACTACAGCTGTAAAAAGTCAATAGGATGTGCAGAGAAATAAAAAGAGAACAAACCCCGCAGCTGTAACTGTGCCATCATCATCAACAACAAAGGGATAGTCTGAAACAGGTTTAAGAGAACCCATCAGGGAAAGGCAAATAACCCATTCCATAGCAATGCATGAGTCATTGGAGGTTTGTGTAATACACTATTGTTGGCTATAAATGGGAACCACGCTATGTCTAAATGATTATGCATAGCCATATAACAAGTATTAATAGGTATCAATTAATTTTTTTACCTGCCCTTCACACTAAGGTCCCAGGATGGGTTACAGCATTCAAACTATATTAAAAACAACTTAGTCATTAAAAAAATGTGGTCTCCCAAGATCCTAGGCCTCTGACCGCTACACACTTGCTCATTGAGTTATATATAAGTAACCACCAATGGTGGGATCTAGTCAGCTTCATGAATCATGAGTTGTGCAGGCCTAATTGAATGCCTCTTGGGTTTTATGACTGTCCTTGGAGCTGAGATGCTGCTGTTATGCTCTTGATGTGGGATGAACAAAAACAAAGGGGGGTTTGTCAAAGGTGTCTCAGTAGAAATCAGAGTAGATCATGGAAGCCTGAAGTTTGCTTACCCTTGGTTGAAGGTCCCTGAATCCAGGTGAAGTTGGATATGTGGGGATAGCACAAGAATTGCCCAAGTGCTTGGATCAGACCGAAAACCTATCTTATTCAGCCTTCCCGAACCTGGTGATTTCCATATAGTTTGCCTCGCAACTGCCATCATAACAGTGCTGGTTGCAGAAGGTGGAAATTCTATTCCATCACAGCTGCATCCAAAAAAGGCCAAGTGCATGTTTCTGGGAAGCTCATAAAAATGCCTTCCTTTGTTAATCAGAGGTAGACTGCTCTTGAACACGGGAGTTCCATTTCAGCTGTCATTGTTAACATCTCTCAGCATACCTTTTCTCCCTACTTTTGCCTATTCCTCTTTTTAAAGTTAACTAAGTAAACGGTCTCCTCTTTCTCTTGGGACTGTGATATGCATTGCATGTTCTGAACCAGCCAGCCTGAATTCTAATATTATTTTGAGAAGGAAGATAGTTTTCAACTGCTTGCACATTTCAAACCGTTCACTTCTCTCCTGCTCATGTAATTGGAAGTGGAATGACTCTTGATGTGGAGGTTCTCTTTTCAGCTAGAACAGCAAACAGCCTCTGATTATAGCACCAGAGTTGTGCCTCATGTACCCTGTTCTTCCTTTTCTATGTGCTGTGCAGGATTCCTGCACCTAGGTGGCCTGCGGACTGCTTTGTACAACTACATTTTTGCCAAGAAACACCAAGGGAGCTTCATCCTCAGACTGGAGGACACAGACCAAAGCCGGGTGGTGCCCGGGGCTGCTGAAGGCATAGAAGATATGCTGGAATGGGCAGGTAATTCTGCTTCCCTACACATGCATGCAGTTCAGGCTCTGCCACAGGGGCCAAACAGTGTGTGGGGTTGCATCTTTTGCCAGGTTTCCTCAGGGAAGCAGTGCAAGATGATCAGATTTTTTTATTTTTTATAACCCGCCCATTTGACTGGGTTGCATTAAACATATTAAAACTTCCCTATGCAGGGCTACCTTCAGATGTCTTCCCAAGGTTGTATAGTTTGTTATCTTCTTTACATCTGATGGGAGGGCATTCCACAGGGTGGGTGCCACTACCGAGAAGGCCCTCTGCCTGGCTCCTTGTAACTTCACTTCTCACAGTGAGGGCCCTCGGTGTCCAGGCTGGATGTTGGGGGTGGAGATGCTTCTTCAGGTATACAGGGCCGAGGCCATTTAGGGTTTTAAAGGTCAGCACCAGCATTTTGGATTGTGCTCAGAAACGTACTGGGAGCCAATGTAGGTCTCTTTGTTCTTGGTTTTTCTGTCTTATCCAGGGAGTGGGGAAATAGAAAATATTCCAGCCCCCTCCTCTCGCCACCCCCACTCTCCCCCCCCCATCATCATCATAAACCACCTTGGAGAACAGGACAGCTGCCCCATCACTCTCAGCAAGTTATCCACCCTCCCTGATGCTTAACCTCATAGAAAGGGGCTCAGACTCCCCTCTCCTTGTTTCCTTGCTTACTTGCAAAAAAACCAAGCAAAACACAGTCTCTAGGTCAGCTGCCTTGGCCTCAAGGAAACAAATTTATTTGCTGATGGTGAGTTATCCACCACACTTCAGACACATGTGACTTCTGTCCAGCAAGCAAAGAGTTGTACATCTGACCCTCTGTGTTCAGTAATTGGATGGCTCCCTCCCACACTTGATTTTTCCACCTGCATAATGTGCATTTTCTTTGTTATAGTTTTTCTATTTGGAAAGTTGGGATTTGCAAGATCCAAAAAGGGAGAGGGTTGATTGCTCTGGCCTCCTCGCCCTGTGGCTGCACTCTCACAGGTGCCTAACTCACCTGCCTACTTCTTGATGATTTTGTCACTGGGGTGCCCACAAGATTGCCTGCCCTTTTATACTACAGTGGTACCTCAGGTTACATACGCTTCAGGTTACATATGCTTCAGGTTACATACGGTTCAGGTTACAGACTCCGCTAACCCAGAAATAGTGCTTCAGGTTAAGAACTTTGCTTCAGGATAAGAACAGAAATCGTGCTCCAGCGGCGTGGTGGCAGCAGGAGGCCCCATTAGCTAAAGTGGTGTTTCAGGTTAAGAACAGTTTCAGGTTAAGAACAGACCTCCGGAACGAATTAAGTACCGTATTTTTTGCTCTATAAGACTCACTTTTTTCCTCCTAAAAAGTAAGGGGAAATGTGTGTGCGTCTTATGGAGTGAATGCAGGCTGCGCAGCTATCCCAGAAGCCGGAACAGCAAGAGGGATTGCTGCTTCCACTGTGCAGCAATCCCTCTTGCTGTTCCGGCTTCTGAGATTCAGAATATTTTTTTTTCTTGTTTTCCTCCTCCAAAAACTAGGTGCGTCTTGTGGTCTGGTGCGTCTTATAGAGCGAAAAATACGGTACTTAACCCAAGGTACCACTGTACTGGCTATCTTCCTCTAACTCTTGCTACAGGCATTTCCATCAGAAAAGCCTTGTTTAAAAGGGGGAAATGTGTGTATTGACCACTGGGCTGCAGCACAGTCCAGTGAGTTGGGATTTAAGTGACCTGGGAATGGGGATTTTTTTAAAATCAGGGGAGCAGATAGAGTCACCACTCCTTCACCTGATAAAATCATCATGTGATTATGGGATGTGGGGACTTTGAGCCTCTCTGGGATTTAAATGATCTGAGTCACTGTAAGCCTATCTCTGTCGGCACTTTTCCAAATGTGCACTCGAGTTCCCCCAGAGGCGTAGGAAGGGGGTGGTGGTGGGTGCATCCCCAGGTGTCATGACTGAGGGGGGTGACAAAATGGCAGGCGAGTGGGTGGCACACCTTGCGCCTGGCGGCAGCAGCTCTTGACCATCCTCAGCAATTTCCAAGTGGTCCACGGGAGGGCAGGGTGGACCACGTTTGGGATCCCTTTGCTCTTGGTTGCTTCTGAAGAGCTGTCCCCTGCCTCCCCTTGCAGGCATCCCACCCGAGGAGAGTCCTCGCCGGGGCGGCCCAGCGGCCCCCTACCAGCAATCCCAGCGACTCAACTTATACAGGGAAGCCGCGGAGCTGCTTCTGGAGAAGGGGGCTGCCTACCGCTGCTTTTGCCCCCCCCAGCGCCTGGAGCTACTGAAGAAAGAGGCGCTGAGGAACCGGCAGACGCCGCGGTAAGGATCAGGTGGAGGTTAGACCTGGGTGTGCTCTCTGCATGGCTGCTGACGCAACCTGGGTCCTGCTCAGCCGCAGGATTGCTACACGTCTCTCTGCCTTTGACAATTCTGCGTTCTTCCAAGGAGAGTCCTGAATGCGGGTGGGATGGGAGCTGATGTTTGGCTGATGGGGAATCAGGAGGCAGGGCTGGGTGAGTCCAAAGAATTGTCCGTGTGGGGCTCTGTGGACTTCTGGCCTTGATCCAGCATGCTTACACTCAGGGATGGCCTTGATGGCCGGGAAAGGCCAGTGTTTGCCTTATCAGGCTTATCGGCTTCAGGGGCCTGTTTCTCAATCTCCAGCAGTATCTGGAACAATAGAGCAAGGACCTTTGGCTAATGCATTGCAAGGAGTTGGACTAATTCTGTGAATCTAAAAGGAGAGAGAAGCACTAGCTGTGGCCTGACGCCCCCTCCCCAAATTTCCTTAGTATATTGTCAGAGCTGCTTCCAGATCCTAGCTCACAGAGGATCACGCTAGCCAGCGGTCACTTGTAAAAGTCTTTTATTGAGTTACAGTTTCCATTCTCAAGCTGCTGCGTGCAACTCTACGTCTTATGGCTAGACCGGCGAAGCTCCGTCTGAGTCTCCGCCCCCTGTACACCAACTTAATATCCTAGCCCTGTCCCACCTTTTCCGCCTGACTGTTCTTCTCTGGGTCCCTCTGCCCCCCGTGGTCTCTTCCTTCCTGGACTCTTCTGACGCTGACCCCCCGGACCCTCCTGTCTCCTTGCGCCGGGCTTTAGGACCTGGCTCCCTTTCCGGGCTGCCTACTGCGCCACCTTCCTGTGCATTTGAACTTGGCGCGCGCGCCCAACCTTCCACCTTCCGTCTAACCGTTTCTTCGCTCCCCGATGGAGGTGTGGCCACTCCTGACTCGTGCCCTCCCCCCTGTTGTGAGCTGCCAGCGCTTGATCCCTGGCGCCCTTCCTCTTCCCTGCTCTCTGGCGGTGACGCTGGTCCCGATTTCCAGCTGCTCTCCTCTGAGTCCCCTCTGGCTCTATCTTCCTGGGGTCTCCCCCTAGTCTCCCCCCTTGCCCTGGCCACTGGTGCTCCTTTCTGTGAATCTTCTGATTCACTGGAAAGACTCGGAGATCTCGGGTCGTCGTCATCACTCATCTTTTCTTCTGCCTCCTCCCCCTCGCTCTCTGTCTCCTCCCTTGCCCTTGCCTCTGCTCCTGAACCCCTGACATATATGTTCATTGCTCTGTTGCTACTGTGGAGAAGGGCTTGGGATATCTTTTGCTATGGTTGCTTGTGGGCAACAATTTATCCTGCTCAGAGTGAGAACTTGGAGGGTTTGGGGGCGGGGGCAAAATGTGTTAAGTTGTTCAAAAGCCACAGAGTACAGGTTCTCTATGTGGGAGAGACAGAGAGGGAAAGAGTCAGCAGCCATAATTGAAAAGGGGATGGGAACTATCGCTAAGACCATCTGTTTGTCTTCTTTTTTCTTTTTCTTATGTTTATATCCCACCTTTCCTCCAAGGAGCTTAAAGTGGCATACACGATTTTCCCTTTCCTCATTTTGTCCTTAAAAACAACCCTGTGAGGTAGGCCAGGCTGAGAGGCAGTGACTGGCCTAGGGGGGCCCCATTGAGCTTTATGGCTGAGTGGGGATTCAAACCCCAGCCTCCCAGGTCCAACACACTAACCACTACACCACACTGGCTCTGTTTGAAACAAATCTGTTTGAATGATTTGCTTGTTTTTACCTAGGTATTTGGTTAAATTGGAAATACAGGCTTTGCATTCCTGTAATTTTCCTTGTTTACCTTAGTTGTTTATTGTACCTGTTTTTGTGACTTTTATATGTTGTTTTTCTCTGTTTTCATTGCTTTGTTCCCCACTCCGGGATTGAAAATACTGTGGGCTATAAATACTGCAAGTGAATAATAATAAAAAAATCAACAGGCAGGGAGTTCCAAAGCGCCAATGTGCGACCCCTGTAAAAGTACAAGTTCTGGAGACATGCTTCCTGCCTCCATCAAAGGCAGGGTGGTCCGGTCAGCTGGGATTCTGGGTTTCTCAAAGCCTTGGAGTTTTGTGTTGGTTCAGTTGAATGAGAACCAGCAGCTTAGGTTACAGATGAATCCTTCTGCTGCTGCTGCTGCTGCTGCTTCCGATGTGATTCCTAACCCTGCCCCTCTCCTTACAGATATGACAACAGGTGCCGCCACCTGAGCCCCAAGCAGGTGGCTGAGAAGGTGTCTCAGGGCGCTGACTCTGTCATGCGCTTCCGCCTGGAGGAGAACTCGGAACCCTTCTGCGACCTGATCCACGGCTGGAGCAAGCATGTTGTCGCCAGCGTCGAAGGGGATCCGGTGATCCTGAAGAGCGATGGCTTCCCCACCTACCACCTGGCCAACGTGGTGGATGACCACGTCATGGGGATCAGCCATGTCCTGCGGGGGGCAGAGTGGCTCATCTCCACCTCCAAGCACCTCCTCCTCTACAGGGCCTTTGGCTGGGACCCACCTCAATTTGGCCACCTCCCGCTGCTCCTGAACAAAGACGGCAGCAAACTTTCCAAGAGGCAAGGGGACATCTTTGTGGAGCAGCTTGCGCAGGATGGCTGGTTGCCCGAAGCCCTGCTGGACATCATGACAAATTGTGGCTCTGGATTTGCAGGTAATGAGGCCGTAGCCCTCGGCACCCCAGCTGGCTGGCTCAATTGGTGTGAATTCTCTGCTTATATTTGAATCCTGCTTATAAAATTATGGGTGTCCTGCTTTTCCACCTTGTCTTGGCAAATGACTGTGTTCAGTGGAGTCTCTCCTGGAGCTGGTCCCTCCTCAGTAGGTTGTCCCTGGGCTTCCTGAGGCCTCTCGCCTTGCTGTTGCTTCTCTGTGGAATCCTAGAGTTGTGTGCCATCGATTCCAGTGGGTCCCAAAGTGGGGGGCAGTTGGATTACCTGGGCAAAGGAGCTGCAGGCTGGTGCTAGAGGTGGAAATAATTATCATCAATGTTGATGAATTAATTAAATTAAATAGTTGTATCTTAGAAGTCGAATGCTTTGCGACTTGAACGTTTTGGCTCCCGAATGCCGAAAACCCAGAAATGAGTGTTCCAGTTTGCAAACATTCTTTGGATCCCGCACATCCGATGCGGGTTCCGATTGTCTGCAAGAGCTTCCTGCAGCCAATCAGAAGCCGTGCCTTGGTTTCCAAATGTTTTGGAAGTCGAACGGACTTCTGGAACAGATTCCATTTGACTTCCAAGTACGACTGTAATTGAATTTTGAATAAATGTGCAATTGTGGGTTGTGCAAAATGTTACTCTGAATAATGCTTTTTGTAGGTACAGTGTGGGCACTGGGGATGTGTTTATGGAACCAAGGCAGCAGGAGTCTAACCCCTTGCTGAATGTAGAAAGCCCAGACTCTGGAGAAGGGGTTGCAGCTCAGAAATTCAATCCACAGTGGCACCTCTAGGTAGAGCTAGGAAAGAGTCCCTGCCTGAAACCCTAGAGAACAACTGCCTGTCAAGTGTTGGCAGTGCTGAGTTACATGGAACAAAGGTCTGATGGGGTAAGGCAGCTTCCTGTGTTTCTAAAGCATCACCTAACCCAGGAGTGGGAGATCTGCATCTTGTGGGCCTAAATTAGCCCACAAAGCTGTTTACCTCCGACCACATACCCCTTTCCCTTTTGCTCCCCACATCAGAGGTGACTTTGGGTGAAGGTGTGGCAGAGGGCTGGTGGCTGCCATCCCTTTGAGGGCTGTTTGCAAACCAAAGGGCATCAGAGGCAGTGCCAATCAGCTGATGGGTGCTGAGAGACGTGGCCTTGGTGGTCCACTTGCAAGAGGCCTGCATTGGAGTTGCTTGCTGATGGGCTTCACCTGAGCTCCTGATGGCGGCCAGTGGGCAGCTGTGAAAGATGAGCGCATTATTATTATTAATGTTGCAATACATATATGAAATCTTTTCATAATGATACATATACATTACATTCGTAAATTCACATTATCACATTTCATTATGTACCAGCATTTATCCATTTCTTATTTCTTGCCCTGTGTCTTCCCTCCACCCGTGCGTGACTTCCTTGTTATTATTTTATAACTTTATTACAGTGGTGCCTCGCAAGACAAAATTAATTCATTCTGCAAGTTTTTTCTTCTTGCGAGTTTTTCGTCTTGCGAAGCACGGTTTCCCATAGGAATGCATTGAAAATCAATCAATGCGTTCCTATGGAAACCGACTTCAGACCAGGTCCGGGGACAGTCTGTCCCCCGACCTCTTCTGAAGGCTGGCGGGGGGACAAGGGCTTTTCTTCCCACCCCCAGCATTTTAAAAAACCCCGGGACAGCGGAGACTTCTCCGCTGTCCCGGGGCGATCTTAAAATGCTGGCGGGCGGCAGCGAAGCCTCCGCTGCCGCCCGCCAGCATTTTAAAAAAACCCCGGGACAGCGGAGGACTTCTCCGCTGTCCGGGGCGATCCTGGACCTCTTCTGAAGGCCGGCGGGGGGCGAAAGTCTTTGCTCCCCCCCCGCCTGCCTTCAAAAGCCATCCGGGATAGCGGAGAAACGAAGGCTGGCGGCGGGAGGAGGTCTCTCCGCCCCGCCGCCAGCCTTCGGAGGAGGTCCGAGGACAGTGGGGAAGACGCGCTGCGCTTCCCCGCTGTCCCGGAGATTTCCCTATGGGCTGTCATCTTGCGAAGGAAGCCCATAGGGAAATTCGTTTTGCGAAGCGCCTCCAAAACGGAAAACCCTTTCGTCTAGCGGGTTTTCCGTCTTGCGAGGCGTTCGTCTTGCGGGGCACCACTGTATTGAGATAGTATTTTTGTATCTTAATAATTAAACATTCAGTCTTATATATCTGCTTAGCTTAACTTAACTTTGTGAAATCAGTCTATACATATCAATAAATTCTTGTTGGAGCATGTTTTGGTCATGTATTCTTCTACACATTTCCATTTCTGTTTGAGATTTTAATCAATCTAATAAAAATCTAATCAGAACTCTTGGTTTCTTTTGCAGATAACCGGATGGGCAGGACGTTGAAGGAGCTGACTGAGGAGTTCAACGTGAGCAGGATCGAAAGGCACTCGGCCCTGCTGGATCTTGAGAAGCTGTCTGAGTTCAACAGGTGGAGGAACCAGAGGGGTGGGGTAGCACCAGCTTCCATGCATTTCCTGGTTGGCTGTTGATCTGCGGGCTGTTTATCCCAGGGGGGGGGGTGTGTGTGTCTGCATCTGCTGAGCATCACCTTTTGGTCCCCTTCCCTGTTCCCTTCCCTGGAGCCCAGTCCCCCTCCAGCTCAGGGGTCTCTTCTGCCTCCTCCTTGAAGTCAGGCTGCATTCAGGGAAGAAAAAGCAAGATGTCACAGGCATCGCTGAGAAACTGAGGAAGTGCATCCCTAAAAGTTCATCCCACCCCTTATAGCTCAGCTGGTTAAAGCATGCTGCTGACAATGTCGAGGCTGCAGGTTCGATACCCATGTGGATATTCTAGCTGCATATTCTAGTACTGCAGGGGGATGGCTTAAATTCTCCTCAGGGTCCTTTCCAACTCTTCAGTTGTATGATTCTATGAAGTGGCTTTGTGTGTGTGCACAGGATCCACCTGACCCGTCGGATTGAAGATGACCTGCAACGGCAAGAGCTGGTGGCAGAGGTGCAGGCCTCTGTGGAGGAGACCTATGGGAGCCAGGTGGTAGACCGGGAGGTCCTTGAGAAGAGCTACGTGGAGCAGGTGCTGCTGCTTAGAATGGTAAGTCAGGCAAAGAGGGTGTGTGTGTTTGTGCACAAGTGCGCCTGCCTCTTTGCTTTCTTGTGTGTGTTTTTGTTTTTAAATAAATGTCAACGTGACGAAAGGAAAGAAAACAAAGGTCTTAAATTTTAACACCACAAAGCATCACATCCTGGAAGCACAAAAGATACAGCACGTCTCCTAAGGGATAACAAAGTGTTAACTCAGGCATAGATTTCCTTTACAAATAATAAAGATATATAAAAATAACAGTGTCCTCCACCTGTTTCATCATTATGATGAACACAGGTTCTATACACAGGCTTAAATGAGCCAGATGATTTCCATACACTGGTGGCACTGAGTGACTGGGTGCCTCAATATTTGCATAAGAAATACGATTATTATTATTATTTTTTATTAATTGAGTTTATATACCCGGAGATTTCAGGGCGGTTCACAGAAAAGATCACAACATATACAGTGGTACCTCAAGTTACAAACGCCTCAGCTTACAAACGCTTCAGGTTACAAACTCCACTAACCTGGAAGAGTTACCTCGAGTTGAGAACTTTGCCCCAGGATGAGAACGGAAAATGTGTGCTGGCGGCGCAGCAGCAGCAAGAGGCTCCATTAGCGAAAGCACGCCTCTTGTTAAGAACCGTTTCAGGTTAAGAACGGACCTCCGGAAATAATTAAGTTCATAACTAGAGGTACCACTGTATAATCAGAATAAAAACAACAACCCACCCTGAAAAGAGCCACATTTTAGAAGGGTATAGAATGTCAAACAGACCAACCAAAGGCCTGGTTAAAAAGGAACATTTTTGCCTGGCGCCTAAAGGTGTATAATGAAGGTGCCAGGCGAACTTCATGCTATATATGTTTCCTAGCTGGAAACTCTTCGACTTTAAGGTAAGAAGGTACCTTGGGGCAGGGAGAGATGTGGTGTTGAGGGTGGGGGCTCCAGCCAGGGGAACTGATCTGCCTGTCTCTCTGATTCTCAGTGGTCCTTCCTCCCCAGGGTCACATAAGCCGCCTCAAGGACTTGGTGTCACCCAAGTATTCTTTCTTGTGGATCCGGCCCTCCGTGCCTCACGAGGAGCTGCAAACCATTTCAGCAGAGGCAGACAAAATAGGAAGGCTGGTTCTCAGGTGAGTTGCCCTGGACCTTGCCTGTGGTTGTTTTTTAACCCATTGGGATGTTGCAGCCACCTAGAGGTCTGGCCTCCTCCACCTTCCTCCTCACCTGAGTGACAGCAGGTACCTTCCATGCTGGAGTAAGCGCTTGTTTTCAGCTGGTCTCCCTCATATGGTAAATAAACAGTAGAACCTTACATTATCTCAGCTGGTAGAGTATGAAACTCTTAATCTCAGGGTTGTGGGTTTGAGCCCCACGTTGGGCAAAAGATTCCCCATTTGAGCCCCATTGCAGGGGGTTGGACTAGATGACCCTCGTGGTCCCTTCCAATTCTACAATTCTGTGACCCTTGCCACATGAAGGGTCTTCTGCAAGTGAAATAACCTGCCCTGCAAAATGGATACTATAAATCACTTGGCAGTAGCTTTTCCAAGTGAAAGCTGAGCCACAGTTTAGAAAAACGAGTTTAAAGTAATATCCTTTTTTCTTCTTCTTCTCTTCCCAAAGGTTGCTGGAACAGCCGGTGGCTGCTCTGACCCCAGAGGAGCTGGGCAAAGACCTGAGGCGGCTGCAGGAGCAGATAAGTGGGACCCAGTACAGTGGCATGATGAGACTTCTCCGCTTGGCCCTCAGTGGCCAGAAGGTAAATTTCCCCGGGCCCCACTTCCCAAATCTCATCATCTGAATTGCTCTGCTTTGAAAGCCAATAGCTGGCTTGGCTCTGCTAATGGACCTCAGTGGTAGTTGCTACATCTCTTTAAAATAATCGAAAGAGCCATCCTGGTAGACTTGGGGTATTTTGGACTACAACTCCCATCAGCCCTAGCCATATCATGTTGGGGCTGATGGGAGTTGTAGTCCAAAACACAGAGGGCAGCACATTGACTAAGATTAATTGTACAGTGGTGCCTCGCAAGACGAAATTAATTCGTTCCGCGAGTCTCTTCTTCTTGCGTTTTTTTCGTCTTGTGAAGCATGGCTATTAGCGGCTTAGCGGCTATAAGAAAAAGGAAACAAACTCGCAAGAACTGTCTTGCGAAGCAAGCCCATAGGGAAATTCGTCTTGCGGAACGACTCAAAAAACGGAAAACCCTTTCGTCTAGCGAGTTTTTCGTCTTGCAAGGCATTCGTCTTGCGGGGTACCACTGTACCTCATTTTCAGCAAATCGGTGGCTTATAACAATAAAAATACGTGAAATCAGTTAACACGGATGGACCATTCCTGACAATTAATAATGAAAAGGTATGAGCAAAAACCCACAGGTCAAGCTAGAGCTAGAATAAAACCAAGAATAAGGATGGATAGCTCAGTTGGTTAGAGCATGGTGCTGACAACGCCAAAGTTGCAGGTTCGATCTCCATTCAGGGACAGCTGCATATTCCTGCATTGCAGGGGATTGGACTAGACGATCCTCTGGGTCCCTTCCAACTCTATGATTCTGTGAGCCCTCCCCACACCCCAAGACATGCCCTGATAAGCAAGTCTTTACTTTGCGCCTGAATGGCAACATGAAGATGCCAGCTAAACACCTAATACAGGATGCCAGTTTTTTAAATGTTATTCCATTTATTGGGCAGTGCTGTAATCATAGGAAGCTGCCTTCAGATGTTTTCTAAAAGTCAGATACTTGTTTATTTCCTTGACACTTGGTGGGAGGGCGTTCCGCAGGGTGGGCGCCACCACCAAGAAGGCCCTATGCCTGGTTCCCTGTAGCCTTACTTCTCACAGTGAGGGAACCGCCAGAAGGCCCTCGGAGCTGGACCTCAGTGTCTGGGCAGAACAATGGGGGTGGAGACGCCCCTTCAGGTATACTGGGCTGAGGCCCTTTACTCAGGAGGGGTGGTGGTACTGCAGCTAGAAAGGTTGTAGAGCACTCCGTCAATGGAATTGTGCTAGGAATACGGAAGAGGGAGTGCTGTAATGGAGGCCTCTCAGACTCTAGCTTCCACAAAGCTTCAGGAGCTCTTGTTTTCAAGTAGGGAGGTGTTCCTTCCTGGTTGGCAAGGGCTCCCCCTCCCTTTCTGGAGTAACCTCCCTGTCCATTTCAGGAAGGACCCAGCGTTGCTGAGATGATGGTCTCCTTGGGGCGCAGAGAGGCTAGCGCACGGATCCAGAGAGCCCTTTGCAGCTGACCTGTTGAAGCAAAACAGCCAACCGAACTTTCAATAGAGCTTCCATGTCAAGCCTTCCACGAAGCTCAAACACCTTCCTGTGGACTGCAGAGCATCCCACAGCCATGGACTTGACCACTTCTCTCTCTCTTTTTAAAAGTGCTCTGGGGTTGGCAGCCTGGCATTGGCACTGAGACCCTAAGGGGATTTCCGGTTCTAGTTGAGTCTGACGTGGCATTAATAAAAAAAGCAAAAACACTGGCTGGAGGTCAAAGTGCCGTTGTGACTGCTTTCCACGTGGCCTCGCAGCTGGGCATTCCTTCGGGGCTGGGGAGCAGTGTCAACCTTGGAAGCCTCAGGAGAGTAAGCCAAACCGGGCTCCAAGGGTCCAGTTCCATAGAATTCAAAGGGTATTTTTACTGCATTACAGTCTCAGAGATAATTAATTGCAGTAGGTTGGAATAGATGACCCTTGGGGACTTTCCCAACTCTACAATTCTCTGGTTCTGTGAAAAGGAGCAATAAAATACAATTGAAAATCAATATGAATCTTTAATGTGACGTTTGCACCATCAGCCATAAATCCACAGAGATGCGTGGTCCTGCTGGGTGTAACAGCATCTCCTGTGCTCAGCCTAGTCTCTCTGCCCAGGGCTGGATTAAGCATTAAGCAAAATAAGTATGGGCTTAGGGCATCAAGAGAAGGAATTTCCCCTTGGACCATATGGTGCAGCTGAACACAAACATCATTTCTACAACTATGCAAAAATAAACATTACTTTCCATCTTACTGTAGTTTTCGTTTCATTTCAAAAAGTAAAATTTTATTTTACAGTTTATTATTGTTTATATTTTGAATTAGATATATGTGGGGGCACCAAAATCTTTTCATGGCATAGGGCCTCCAAAGGTCTATGCCCCTCTGAGCACCATTTTGGGATGTCTTTCCAGAACAAGGGTGGTGCCCTCCTCAGACATCCCTATATGGGCAACCTTGAATGGCTTAGCCTGCAACCCTTTGTGGTGAAGGAAGGTGACTCTTCCAAGTCAGGTGTGGCTACAGGCTGGCTTGGAAGGTAAGCAAGCAGTGGGGGGCCTGGGAAGCAGAGCTCAGTCTATCAGATCTGCTGTGGCAGCTCCCACCAGGCCTCCTCTCCCCTCTGCTGTCACCTGGGGGCAGCCATTCCAGCAGTCTGCCTCAGTGCAAGAGAGAGATGGGGAGCAAGGCCCATTACATCTTGCTAAATGCCCAGCTAGCTAAAAGCAGAGACATCACCTTGCCAACAAAGGTCCGTATAGTTAAGGCTATGGTTTTCCCAGTAGTGATGTATGGAACTGAGAGCTGGACCATAAAGAAGGCTGATCACTGAAGAATTGATGCTTTTGAATTATGGGGCTGGAGGAGACTCTTGAGAGTCCCATGGACTGCAAGAAGATCAGACCTATCCATTCTGACGGAAATCAGCCCTGAGTGCTCATTGGAAGGACAGAGCCTGAAGCTGAGGCTCCAATACTTTGGCCACCTCATAAGAAGAGAAGATTCCCTGGAAAAGACCCTGATGTTGGGAAAGATGGAGGGCACAAGGCGAAGGGGACGACATAGGATGAGATGGTTGGACAGTGTTCTCGAAGCTACCAGCATGAGTTTGACCAAACTGCAGGAGGCAGTGGAAGACAGAAGTGCCTGGCGTGCTCTGGTCCATGGGGTCATGAAGAGTCGGACACGACTAAACGACTAAACAACAACAACAAATGCCCAGCTCTATGATGCACCTCCTGTCCCTGAGCTGGGCCAGCTGGTCATTACAGGAACACCTGTCTATAAGTTGGTGCCTGAGTTTCCATTTTCTTCTTCCCTCCCTGTCCCTTTCCCCTTGCTTGTCCTGTCATTTCTCTTAAGATTGTAGACCTGAGGGTAGGGATTGTAGACCTGTCAGGCCTTTTTGACACAAAACAAACAATAGATAAGCTGACCCAGGCAGGGTCCTAAGGCCAGTCATGTTGGGGGTGGGGAGAGGAACAGTATGCTAAATCACTCCCCCCTTTATCTTCAATAGATTTGGCCATTGTCTTTGATACTTCTCTATTTCAGCCCACTTTTCTCTTCTGACTGGGGTCTTCCAGTTCTCTCTAGATTAGGGCAGCCCAGCTAAGTGAGGCACTGGGCTTTGGGAAGGCAGCGCAAGGGCTCAGAGGGTGCATGCACCCCTCAGACCACCCACTGGACTACCCCACTCTAGATTAAGGTGGCTATCCTGGTGCCCCCTCCAGATGTTGTTGGACTATTCCCCCTGGCCACTGTTGGCTGTGAGGCTGATGGGAAGTGGCCCCCAGCCCCAGGTCACAGAGCAGTGGTTCTGAAAGTGAGTGTTACAACCTCCTGGGGGCAGTGGAGATACCTAGCAGTGCACCAAGCGGTGTGTGTGTGTGTGTGTGTGTGTGTGTGTGTCAATCACTATCTGACTTTGAAAAGCAGGTATCACTTGATCAAGTTCCTCAGTTTTGTGGAATCACTCAAACTACAGAGTTTAATTTGGTTTTGCATAAATGTGCATTTAAGGTAATTGTTAATAAAATGTGCAATCTATTAAGTTTGAATTGTATTGCATTATTATCTTCCTCAGGGGACGCGGGTGGCGCTGTAGGTTAAAGCCTCAGCGCCTAGGGCTTGCCGATTGAAAGGTCGGCGGTTCGAATCCCCGCGGCGGGGTGCACTCCCGTTGCTCGGTCCCAGCGCCTGCCAACCTAGCAGTTCGAAAGCACCCCCGGGTGCAAGTAGATAAATAGGGACCGCTTACTGGCGGGAAGGTAAACGGCGTTCCGTGTGCTGTGCTGGCTCGCCAGATGCAGCTTGTCACGCTGGCCACGTGACCCGGAAGTGTCTGCGGACAGCGCTGGCCCCCGGCCTATAGAGTGAGATGGGCGCGCAACCCTAGAGTCTGGCAAGACTGGCCCGTACGGGCAGGGGTACCTTTACCTTTACTTTATTATCTTCCTCAGGGTGGTGATAACCACTATTCTGACTATAGTAATGCTTTTCATAGGGCAGAGGGTCTGAGGATGGGTTTATGCGACCAAGAGGTCCAAAATAGCTTAGGAACCACTGAGCTATAGGCAAACATTTCCAAAAACCAAAAAAATCCAAATCCTTAGAAGAGCCTCACCTCCATTAGGCCAACCCAAATGTTGCAAAGGAGTGGGCAAACTTTTTCCCACTTCCAGCCGAACAAGAACTTTGCTGTAATACGGATTATCGTTATTTTTCTTGTGGGCTGGAGGCTTTGGTTTTTAATTGTGCTTTTCCAACCTGATGTGAACACTAATCCATTTTGAGTCTATCATTTTAACTTCTCGAAAGTTTTACATTATTGCTGTTCATTTTTCTTACTGATAATTTTGCTGTTGTTTTTTTCTTGTAAACCACTTTAAGCTGTTTTCTTTTAAAGCGATGTATAAATCTATCTGCCCCCTGTCCTCTCTCCCCTTGCCCCCACCCCCGCCAATGTTTTGCCCCTGGCCGAGCTGGCCAAGCCGGCCAAGGCGCGGAGCCCCCGGGGAGAGGCTGCTCTGGACGGCTGCCCGGCCCCTCGCGGCGGCTGCTGGTGTGCTTTTCCCTGGCGGGGCTTCAGTGCCAGGCCTGTTGCTGCCCAGCGCCGGGCGCGGGGGCGGCGCTCCGGCTGCCTCTCCCCGCCCCGGGCGGGCGCCGAGGCGGGGTCTGGGCGCCGGAGGGTCGTCCCACCCGGGGCTGGGCGTGCCGGGCCAATTTTCTGCCCGGCCGAGGAAGAGGGAGGCAGGCCATGGCGCGGGCGGCTCCTCCGGGCACGCTGGAGCTGCTGCTGCGTGAGTGTGGGGAGGAGAGGGAGGGCGCTCTGCACGCGCTCAGAGGCTACGGCGCCTGGCTGGGCGCCTCTCCGGACTGAGTTCCGCGGAGCTTGGCTCCTTGGCTCCTGAGACGCGGGTGGAGGAAGAAAGGACACCCCACCCTGCCGGGCCGGCCCATCGCTCCCAAATCTGGCATATGAGCCTGGAGGGGGTGTCTTGGAAAGCGCTCTCCCCTGGGAGCTTTTCTTGCAAACCACCTGAAGCGTCAAACGGTGCAACTCGGAAGCGGTTTTGCACTAGGCGGCTTAAACTGGCCCCCTTCGGCAAGACGGAGTCAAAGTGGCTGCGTGTTTTTTCAACCCAGACTGGGGGACCCTGAAAGGCAACAGTTTTGCCTTCCGATTTCTCCCCCCCCCCCCGTCAAAGCTGTTTGGATATTCCTTTCATTCAATGTTGCCGTCTCTCTCTCTCTCTTTTTCATTTGAGGGCAGATAATTTGGGGATCTTCTAGTTTCGTCATGTTTGAGGTACTTCTTGCCTCCTGGACTTAATAACCTGATATTTTGCCATAATTTTTTTTTATTCGATCTCCACTCTTGACTCAGGTGGGCTTAGTCAGACTTAAATACTACATCATTCTCCCTTCTTTTTAAAACTTTTTTTTTTATTCAGACAGGCCTTTACAAAATGATGTTTTGTTTTAATCAGTCAGTGTCTATTGATATCACTGATAAATTTTAACCAGGTTTTTATGGCCATTTGTTGATTTTTATAACTTTATATGTTGTACTCCACCTTGCTGTGTTTTTCCCTCCCTGAAAGTGTGGATTATAAATTCATAAATAAATAAATAATGTAAGGTTTTGTTTTATTGGCCCATTATCCTCACTGCTTTTATTCATGGGCAATTTCTTACTGCTCTTGCTCAAAGTTAAAGACATATGAAGAGCCTTTTTGGAATCTGGCCCAAAGCCCATCTGGGCTGGCATCCTGTTCTCCCAGTTACCAACAAGATGCCCATGGGAAGCTAGCAAAGCAAGCAGGCCTGGGCACAAGGGCACTTTCCCCTCCTGTGGCTTCCAGCAAATGGCATTCACAAGCATTGCTGCCTCTGACTAGTTTCTGCAAATAAGAGTAACTCCCAGGAGAAGTATTTTGCCTACTTTTTTTTTTTAAAATAAAAACAAGAGTACACATTCCCAGCTAATTCTGGCTTCAGGGCTGTCTGTTGTATAAATGCTTCCCTAAATCAAATGCCTTCATTACAGAAAAAAGGATTATTTTCTCACTCTATAAAAAGCTTTCTCTGACGCAAGGGAAAAAAAACCTGTAATTTTTTCTGTTCTGATTTGAGCCAGCAGTAATCTGATGCAATCTGACATTTTCCTGCCAGGCATGAAAATGCATCTGATCAACGCCTGTATATTTATCAGTCAATTTGCCAATACAGTAGATAGCATTTCAAAATTCTGCTGGAGAGAACTGGTGGAAAGAACATTCTCCATCCTCTTTACAGCTCATCCTCTTTACACCTGGATTTCCCTTCCTAATTAAAGAACCTGGCCATTCATTTGTTAACTGTGCAATCCTATATGTGTCTACTCAAAAGTACCGGTAAGTCCTGTTGAGTTCAATAGGGTTAGTCCCAGGTGAGTAGTTCTAGGATTGCAGCCTAAATGCTGTATACTCTCTTATAAGTGCAATGGTTTCATTTTTCTTTAACTGCTCAATAGCTTGGTTTTTGTCAACTGAACATGGTATTAAGCATCATTCTCTCTTTTGAGGATATTGCAACAATTTCTAACTTCCCTTAAAAATATGCAGTCTTCAAAACTCTCAGAAACAAAAGATTTCTAAGAAGATACACTGCCCCCAGTTTGTCTCTTTCTTTCATAGCAAACCTGGTCTTGTTTCTTTTTTCTAACTGAAAGGTTGGATCTTACACACACACACACACACACACACACA